GATAAATCAGCATCATGTGCCTCCTGACACAATCCTCTAGAAGGACACAACATTATTTCTGAGCTATTCCTATCAAATATGCACATAACTTGAATTTACTCGTGAAGAAACATCAGGCAAACTCATATTGAAGGACATATTACAAAATAACTTTGTCCTATAATATTCCAAAATGTCAGGGCATAAAAGACAAAGACAGAGGAACTGTTAAGCTTAAAGGAGACTTAAGAGACATGATAGCTTAAAGCAACTTAGGATCTTGGACTGAATCCTGGACCAGAAGAAGAAGAAAACATTTTTTTTTCTTTTGTTATAAAACAGACATTAGTGGGACAACAGAAGAAATTTTAATGTTTACAGATTAGATGACAGAATTGTCAATTTCCTGATTTTGTCATTGTACTGTAGTTATGTAAGAGAAGGTTTTTGTTTTTAGAAATCACTCTGAAGGTAAAGAGGCATCATCTCTGCAACTCTGCCTCAAAGCTTCAGGAAAAAAATAGAGAATTATAATGCATGTGTAATAAAATATTTACACTTGGGGAATATGTGTGGAAGGAATATGAGCATTCTTTTTACTATTTTTATAGCTTTGTAATCTGAATTGTTTTCAAAATAAAAGTTTTAAAATACAAAAGTACAGCCTCTGGGGAACGAGACCACTTAGGTTTGTTTTCTGGCTCTGTCACTAGCTTTGTGGTTTGGGAAAATGTGACCTTTCTGTGTCTGAGTTTCCTGATATATAAAATGTAGTTTATAATACCCGCCTTAGAGCATTATTGTGCAGATTAATGAAGTTTATAGAAGTAAAATGTTTAGAACAGTGCCTGGCACAAAGTAAGCACTTAATAAATGTTAGCTATTATTATCGGTGGAGTCCCTGAGTAGTGCAGATGGTTAACATCCTTGGCAGCTAACTGAAAGGCTGGAAGTTCAAGTCCACTTAAAGGCACCTCGGAAGAAAGACATGTTGATTTACTTGGAAAAATCAGCCATTGAAAACCCAGTGGAGCACACTTGTGCTCTGACACAATAGGGTGGCCATGAGTCAAAATTAGCTCGATGGCAGCTGATGTTTTAACTGGTTGTTATTGTATTTTATTGTATTTATAATAAATTAGTAGCTACTTAATAGTGGGCATTTAAGGTGTTTCAAGTCTTAATCTGAAACAAGTATCTGTGTGCATATTTTACTCTTGCTTGTACCCTTACTATCTAACCCATCATCTAGTCTGTAGTTGGTATTCAGATTTGCATGAATTACAGCACTTCAGGAACCCTTAAAATCTTTATGCAAAGAATTTTATCTATAAAATGAATTTTTAAAGTAATAGTGAATCTCAACTAATTTTTCTGAATTGTTTTAAAAGTTGTTAACATTTTTATTAGAATATTGCATTATTAGTACAATCAAGGTAATTGTTTTGGTGGAATCACATTCTCTTTGGATACTGGCATTGGGTGTTCTGTTACAGTTATGATTGTAATTATTTTACTATTCTCAGTTTTCTTTCAGGGCTGTAGTATTTTAAGTTCTGTGTTCTATAGAACTCTAAATATCCCTGATAACCTTCTGTAATTATGCCTTGGCATAAAGACCTTGCAGAGTAAAGAATATGGGCTTTACCTGTTAAAGTGTGTTACCCTTCGCTGGACAATATACTCCATTAATGGCAGGAATTTTTACTTTACCATTGTGTCCCCAATATCTAGCCTGTATCAGCCACCATAGGTTGGTTTAGAAATGAGTAAGTAAATGAACAAAAAATTTTCCCCACTAGTCTTCTTACTACCCTTTGATTGCTACCACTTAAAACTTCCTGGCTTATTTGCTCTGATTCCCCTATTCCCACTGTCCTTCGGTTCCCCTGAGACCATTAATTCATAGACGTTGCCACCTTATTATTCTCTATTGTCTTCCTCATGTCTTCATTTCCATGGTCCAGTGCTAAAGTCACTCTCTTCTGCACACTCTTAATTCCCTTGCCCTTCCCATCTTTTGTGTTGCTTATGTGGCAAAACCTCAGCCATCTGCCTACTCCCTGCTTGCACCTAAGCAGCAGAAGCCTCCTAGAGAAAATGCACATCTGTGTGTCTGTTCTGTAATTTTAGGACTGAAAATCTCAGATGGGCACTCAACACCTTGAGACAGTCCTATCTTACAACACTTCTGTAGTGAATTTGCTTTTGCAGTCTCTAAGGTGATGTTTCCTTGTCTTTCTCTTCTCAGACCTCCAGTGCCAACCCTCCTCACCTTAAGCTTGCTGTCTACTTTATTAAAACATTAGGTGCAATCATATGTAATTTTTCTCACTATCTTCTCACTATCAAAAGTGCTAACCAATCTCTTTTGATGTCCACACTACCGTGCCTTCTTCTATGCTGTTAAAATGAAAGTATTCCTGTAACAATCTAAGCTCAGCCCCTCCACTTGTATTCTAGATTCTGTCCTCTCTTACCTACTGCAGTTGTCAGCTCTCTTTTTGTATTGCATTACTAGTCTCTCCTTCATACTAGGTTATTCTTATTGACATATAAGCATGCTTTAATATCACTCATTTTAAAACGAAACAAAAATCCAGTGTTCCCTTTATCCCATGGCTTTTTATATCCACAATCCCACATTCTCTGCTAATCTCCACCAAAAACGCCTTGAATGAGTTGTTAATATTTGCTTATTGTACTTTCTCTTTCAGTCTCTCTTCTTACCCTCTTTAGTTAGACGTTCTTCTCCACCACTCCACAAAAACTGGTCTAACAGGGTCCTTAAATGATACCCATCTTGTTAAGTCCAGTGTTCTCACCCCTCCCCCTCCATCATATTAGCATCATTACACCCAGTTAACCACTCTTTGAAGGACAGTCTCTTGAATTTCTTACTATCTCATTGGTTAGTCTCTTTCCTTTGCTTGCTCCTTTAGACCCTGGAGTACTCTTGGGCTCCCTCTCTTCTCTATACCTTTTTCCTAGGTTGACTTCCTCTAGTTCTGTGGCTTTTAACACCAGTATCTCTAGTCCTATTTCCTTACCTGATTTTCAGACTCAAACAAGTGCCTTCCTGAAATCTTTATTTGGATGACCAAAGAAATTGCATGAAATCGGTGAGAAGTTCCCTGAAGAAAAGTAAAGCAGAAAAAGGGGATATATAGTGGTGGAGGGTGCTGTTTTAGATAGAGTGTACAGGGGAAACCTCTATATGAGGAATTGGCGTTGGGACAGAGGCCAGAATTAGCAAGGGATGGAGCCTTGTAAATATTTTTGAAGAAAAGCATTTTGAAGAGGGGGTAAGCAAATATAAAAGCCCCAGCAAGAGACTGGCGTGTTTGAAGGACAGCAGGAAGGCCTATCTGACTGGAGTGCAGTGAACATGGAGAAGAGTGGTCGGAAATGAGATTAGAGAGGAGACCAGGGTGGGCCACACAGGGCCTTCTAGGTCATGGTGCAATTTTGGATTTTACTGTGAGGAAACTATTGAGTTTTGGGTAGGGAAATGACATGATTTGACTTACTTTAAAATGATTCCTCTGGCTTCTGGTGGAGAATAAATTATAGCAGGGACAAACGTGGAAAGTGGGGGGATCCATTTAGAGTTGGTTACAGCAGTACCTGTGAGAGATGGTGGTGATTTGAACTAGAGATAACTGTGAAAGGGGTGAGAAGTGGTTAGATAATTAGAAGAGATAGAAGATAAAGCCAGCAGGGTTTTCTGTTGGATTTGTTATGGGTTGTGGGAAAATGAGAGGAGTTAGGTCCAGGTCTGGGCCTGAGTAATGGAATAGATGGTGGTGTCATTTAGCAATGTGCTAAACATTAGGAGAATGGGCATGTAAAATTTGAGAAATCCGATTGGATGTCCAAGTACAGACAGAGTATAAACTTAACATGGAGGATAAGCTTCCAACTCTGTAATACAATGCAAGATTTTAAAAGACCCAATCCTATGAGTCTCATAATACCCTTAACTGAGTTCTTTGAAGCTAGACACATTGTGTTTTTTTCTGTTTGTTAGATGTGGTACTTTGGCATAAGATGGGTGCTCAGTGATGTTTTTGTTCAGAACCGAGAAATTTTGCTGTAGTTATGGCCACTTCTGTGACTCTTTGTTACTGCACTATATTAGGCTTCGATATACATTTGTATTGGAGCCCTGGTGGCATAGTGGTTAAGAGCTATTGTGAGCTATAGCTGCTAAACAAAAGCTTGGCGGTTCGAATCCGCCAGCTGCTCCTTGGAAACCCTCTAGGGCAGTTCTACTCTGTCCTATAGGGTTGCTATGAGTCAGAATTGACGAAGGCAACGGGTGTGGGTTTTTTTGGTTTTTTGTATACATTCTTAGGGCAGACACACTCCTCTAATGGGGCTTATGACTTCTTAATTGAATCAGCCAGATTCATATTCTTCAGAGGGAGTCTAGCAAACCACTTAATTTGTTAATGACTCAGCCATGATTTAAATGATTTGGGGGTGGAGGAACCCATGTGTGAATAACTTTCTTTATGATGTGAATAAGTGGGAATGTGATTTTGCTATCACTTAGAGTAATTTTCTTTGATAAGTCTTAACCTTTGTAGCTCAACAGTGTGTAAACAGGCATTATTTAATAATTTTTGAACTAAGAATCTTATTTAAACCTTATAACCCTATCATCAAACAGTAATTATTATATATTTACTGTTCATTTATAAATGAGAGACTGCTTTGTAAGTGTGAATTATTACTTTGTGAAATTATAGTTAGTCTTTGGAAATGAACATATTAAACGTAGGTATATTTAAATTGTCTGAGGACAAGCAATTGAAATTAAGGGCAGAGTCAGCGTTAGAATATGGCATTTTAAGCGCACTCCTATAAGGAAAGCTTGGTTGTATGATAGTAGTGTTTAGACAAGGAGGATGACATTCTGTTACCGTTGTCTTATTAACAAATAGTGATTTTGTAAGAGAAATATAATGGAAAGTTTGGCTACTATTCAGAGGCCTAATTATTCCTTTTCTGTATAGGAAGATTTTCAGTCAATGACTTATGGATTTAAAATGGCTAACAGTGTGACAGATCTTCGAGTTACAGGTAAAACCATTTATAAAATAATTAACAAGTTTTATGTTTAGATTTGCTTCCTTTTTAAACTCATTGTGTCTCTTTGTAGGCATGCTAAAAGATGTTGAAGATGACATGCAAAGAAGAGTAAAGGTATATGTTTTTTCTCTTTTCTTTGGCACGGAGTTTTGGTATTCTTCTGAATGTCAGGTTAACTTTAGCTAATTGCAAACAGCTAGTATAGATAGGACTACCTTCCTCCTTTTCATCCTGTGTCTTTTTTTGTAATGAATTTGAAGAACACAGGAGGAATTTCTGATAAATTACTTACTGTTTCTTTTAAGTATGTTAATTATAACCCACTTAATCTTTTCAGTTTTTTTCAAATTTTTGCCAGTGTTTTAGTATTCTAGTATGCTATTTTAAGAATAGTATTTTTTCCCCACTAGAGTTTTAAGTTCCTCATATGTAGGGAGTTATCTTTTATACCCTTGTATCTTTAATACCTAGTAAGTGATGAGAACACAGTAGGTGGCCCAGGAAATGGTGGTATCACAAATCTGGTGAAAGCAGAGAACTAGCCTTTAAGACGACATCCTTCAGCCATGTGACCCTGATAATTTGGTTCTCATATAGAGATTAAAGAAGGAAAACAATTATATTTCTACTTTCTTTTTTTACATTTGTATAACACAGTATGGTTGTTAAAGCAATTTTATTTGATATTTACTATTTACAGTATTATTTATTTGATATTTACCGTATTCAGTGAAGTAGCCAATTAAATGCACACAATGTCTCACTTTTAGACGAGGGGAAGAAGGCTCAAAGGAGTTAAGTCATCTCTCTGAGTCTTACTTCAGGGCATGTCACAAAGTAAGCGGCAGCTCCAGGGCTAGAACCCAGATCTTCTGTGAGACCTTCCTGTGGTACTGCCCTGGGATTTTGTCATAAAATAGTTAATTCATAGATAACTCTTGTGTTAGCAACATGTTTTACATTTTAGTGTAGAACAGATTAGTGGTTACTACGTGACTCTATAGAGTTGGAATCGATGGCAGGGGGTTTGTTTGGTTGTTTATAATGTGATTTGTAAAGGTTACCATTTTTTCTAACAGGGTTAGTTTCAACAGCATCATGAATTTCAGTTAGTAGATTCTTTAAAGGAAAGTAGAACTGCATGCCATGTGCTTTTGCTTATGTTATTTCGGTTTTTTGCTTTTGCTGTTTTTAATTCCCGATTCCTTTGTGTGATCTTTGTAACTTCGATCAAAATGAACTTTAAGTATGTAATATTCATAGGAGGAAATTAAATGTTAGATATACCTTTTTTTTTTTTTTTAATAGAAATTCATAAAAATAGAGTCTTATTTGTACTCAGTAGAGCCGTGGTGGGGCAGTGGTTAAGAGCTTGGCTGCTAACCAGAAGATCAGCAGTTTGAATCCACCAGCCCCTCCTTGGAAACCCTGTGGAGCAGTTCTACTCTGTCCTATAGGGTTGCTATGAGTCAGAATTGACTAGACGGCAGTGAGCAGGCTTATACTCAATAAATTGAGTGCTTTCCCTTGCATATTTGTAATCTAATACTTCTACTGGTTTGTGTTTGTTTTAATTCAACCTTTTTTTAAAATTTTAGAGTACTCGAAGTCGACAAGGAGAAGAAAGAGACCCAGAAGTTGAACTAGAAGTAATTGAACTTATTTTCTGGTAGATAATATCAGAGAAGTCTACCTCTTAATGTTGTAGTTTTATGAACTGCGTTATAATTTATGGAAGCCGTTTTGAAGGTATTTCTTTAAAAATTGGATGTTACAAGGGATTTTATTTCCCTTGTATTTATTTTAATAGAATGATTATACACTTCTTTCAAATACATGATTTCAGAGCTCTTCAGTATTCCTGTGAGGTAGGAGAAAAAGAAAAGGTCTTTTACAGAGGATGCATCAAAGCTTGGCAAAGCTCAAGAACTTGCGCAGGGTGAAATGTTGCTGAACCTTTGACAAGATCCTAAATTTTGTGACTCTGCTTAATGTACTTTTTAATTGATCCTTTTTTACATGCTAATTAAAAAAATTTTTTTTAAATAATAGTGTAACTTTGGACAGGAAAACATCATTACTGTTGTTACAAAAACTTTCGTTTTACATTTCTAGTTCAAAAGAATAGGCTTTGTTTTATTATGTTTTTTGTAACTTATTTTTCAGGCATTTAAAAGTGAAGGTATTTGCAATATAGTAATTTATTGACATTGAAACTTAGGAGTTAAATAATATGTTTTAAAATGAAATTCCTTTGACAGGCTTTGCATCTTTTAACATCCAGTCCTTTCTCATTTTTTTTTAGCATCAGCAGTGTTTAGCAGTATTCAGCAGAGTGAAATTTACTCGTGTGTTACTGACAGTGCTTATAGCCTTTACTAAGAAAGAGGTAAGGGCATTTACAATAATTTGTCCATGTTGTAGTGTTTTTTGGATGGAATGCCTTACTGAAGTAATTTTGAGACTTTTGCATTGAAATGAATGCCCCTGATGACAGATACACAGCCCTCAACATTTGGTGTATTTACACCAGAGTACCCCTGATGATTTTCCTACAAAGTCACATGAATTTTACATTTCACTCCATAACATATCCATGTCTGTTGTTAAGATAAAAATAATATTCACTGATATTACTTATTTGTGAATAAGATAATAGAAGCTGAAATTGCTTGTGGGTTGTCTTATACTGGAAATTGAAAGGAGAAAGTGAAAATGAGAATTTTAGGTAGGCCTGTTCTTTCCTTCAGTTAACAAATAAGGTTATTTTTTATCTTTTGTTTATGTTTGCATTAACTCAAGTCACTTACAGACGAATTTGTGAATAGCAAGTGCTAAGTAGAAGATCCAGCCGTTACCATTGACCTAACTTCTGTAATTTTATTTTTTCCACCTTGATGAATGACAGAGTAGAAATGTTGGAAGTTTTCTGTTTTCCTGTTGCCTGCATCTTTATTGTTTTTAAGTATGAGATTAACAGAATAAACCAGAAATGTTTTCCTTTTTTTTTTGTAATGGATCCTATAAGATATAGATGTGAGTAAAAAAACAATTTCTATCCTAATAGGATCTGGGCATCCTGTATTAAGTGAATAGTTTGTGAAAACCAATGTCATTACAGAAAGCATTTAATTCCATTATTGTTTATAGGATTTTCCTATTTAATGTATATCTTTCAGTGAAAGAATATGTAAGAATGTTTTTGGTGATTTATTTGCTAGACCAGCGCTGTTGCAGAAGCTCAAAAATTGATGGTTCAAGCAGCAGATCTTCTTTCTGCCATTCATAATTCATTGCATCATGGCATCCAGGCCCAGAATGATACCACAAAAGGAGGTAATTGTTCATTTTGCTCCTACTCGTTTTTTTCTTTTCCATTCAGAATATATAGTGTTTGATTTATTCTAAAATTTCATTTAAGTCAGTCTGTCTGAACCTTGGATTGTTTTGCTCCATAGCTATATATAGTGTTTAGTCTTCTTTTTTGAAAAATACTTACTCTAGACCAAAAACTTAGTACCGTACAACTTGGGTATCTTCTATATGTTACTATTTGGGCTCAGAATATTCACCCTGTCTTGTGATGCTGCTGTGATATCAGCATTACATTCTTTTTGTATCACCTCTTCCCTTTACTGCTTTGCCTGAGCTCATCGCCTCCATTACATAGCCTTCCCTGACTCCACCAGGAAGGCCTAGGTATTTCTTCTCTGGCCTCATTGCACCTCATACATGCCTCCATTATAGCATTTTTTAGTACATTGTAATTTAATTACCTATTTGTCTTTTTATAAGATTTTGAATGCTTTTAGGCTAGGGACTATCTTATTTATATGTCTCTACAGTGCTTGGCACATTGTTGGTACTCAGTAGATTTTATTTATGAAATATATCTTAAAGTAAGAGGAACAGTGTACCTTTTTATAAAAATTTGCAATTGAGTTAGTTTTAGATATTCTGTAGCAATTTTGATTGCACTTAAAGTTCATTAAAATGAGATGATGTTTATATTGTTTAAATTATAGTTTCCCAGTTGTTGGTCTTTTGACCAGGGAGACACATTTTTACTGATTCACACCCCTTTGCTTTTCCACCCCTCCCCTCCTCCTTTTAGGGACAGCAGTTGTGTTCCCCGTCCACGAATTTTTTCTTACTCAAACATTAGGTAGTGGAGCAGTCCAGAAGGTAATTTGAATTAGGAAATCAGTATTATCATAATTTGTTTTGAGTAATTGTTCTGAATTTGTACTCATTTACATTTTCTTTAGGTTGGAGAATATATGAAGTAACTGGCTAGTGTCATTTTGTAACCATGGAACATAAAAAAAGGTTATACACTGGGAGCTATCTAGTACATGTTTGCAGAGAGGTGTAACATATCCACAACTCTTCAGGACTTTGAAATCTAGTGCAAGAATACTTATATGAAAACCACTGTATAATACAGGACTTCAGCATAATTTGTTGGTTGGTTTGTGTGTCAGTGAGTTACTAATAATGCAAAACTAGAGTCCTCCAGATTACTGGATCTTGATGCTCTTTTTTGTCTTATCTTGACTACTTTGGGCTGTTCTGTTCTATGTTTGCAGCTGAGCAAACTCTGAGGATAATTGTTATAGGGTCGTTAGTTGCCCACATGGCTTGCGGCTTCCCTGTATTTCAGACACTGCTTAAAAAAAAATTGCTTGTGCATGTTCTCCAGTATCTTTCTGGTTTTACAGACTGCTGACAATGAAGCTTCAGGAAGATATTTTGTATAAAAGTAGCTTGAATAAATTTAAAAAAAAAAAAAGATCTTATAACTAAGCAAGTGAAGTTTTAAAATTTGTGAATGATCACCCTGTACTTACTTTTCTGTATAATACCTTTTAGCCAGCTTACTTTACCTTTGTAATTATCCCTTAAGCATAAAGCCAAACTGTTCTATAATTAAAAAAGTCAGTGCCTGCCTAATAATGCCTATTCTAAGAAGAATGATGAGAAAGCAATAGTGTAGGTTAGTTTTGCCTTATTATGATTATTACAACTCCAGCTAGTGACAGAATGGCTGTTTAAGGCTTGAAATCATTGAGCATTCATTTTAGGTTCTCACTGAAGAGGTAGAATCAGTAGGACTTGGAAACAGTGGCATTCAGGGAGAAAGCTAGAAAGATTCAAACTTGATCCTAAGATTACTTGCCAGATGTACTTGATGGATGACCATGTCTTAATGAAGATACAGATGGCGGAACTGGCTTAGGGATAGGGGGTGAGTCAGGAGGGCAGCTCAGAGTTAAATGAATGGGATTCTTTGATATGGTGACATGGAACAGTCCAGTAGGAGAGTAGATATTTGGTTCTGGAATGGCCAAGCAGGTTTTGGAGTCATTTTCATAGTAGATGCTAACTGAAATTGAAAGAGTAAATGCAGTCATTCAGGGGTTTGCTGGTTTCAGAACCTTGGAGAATATATTTGTTGAATAAAGAAAGGAGAAAGATGACCCAGTGAGGCAAATTTTGCTGTTTGTCTTTGCTTATGCTGTGTTATTCCTCTTGAATTCTATACTTCTTTTTATATGTCTGTGGAATATTTACCCATCTTCAAAAAGATGTTCAAATCATCTCCTCCAGTAAGACTTTCTTGGTTCCACATGTCAAAATTTATTTTTATCTCCCATGTTCTTTCATAGTTCTCTGGTTATCTGTGGGTTAGGTCTGGTTTACCCTTTAGATTGTTAGCATCTTTAACAATTACTTAATACATTGGGCAGATCTGCTGCAAAAGACCTCTTTAAAGTGTTAAAAAGCAGAGATGTCACCTTGAAGGCTAAGGTGCACCTCACCCAAGCCGTGGTTTCTTCAGTTGCCTCATATGCATGCGAAGCTGGACAATGAATAAGGAAGACCAAAGAAGAATTGACACCTTTGAGTTGTGGTGTTGGCGAAGAATATTGAATATACCATGGACTGCCAGAAGAACGAACAAATCTGTCTTGGAAGAAGTACAACTAGAATGCTCCTTAGAAGCAAGGATGATGAGACTACATCTCACATACTTTGGACATGTTATCAGGAGGGATCAGTCCCTGGAGAAGGATGTCATGCTTGGTAGAGGGTCAGCGAAAAAAGAGGAATACCCTCAATGGGATGGATTGACACAGCGGCTGCAACAGTGGGTTCAAGCATAACAGCGATTGTGAGAACGGTGAAGGACCGATTGTGAGAATGGTGCAGGACTGGGCAGTGTTTCGTTCTACTGTACACAGGGTTGCTATGAGTCGGAAGTGACTCAACAGAACCTAACAACCGTGGAAATGAAAAAAATTATTTAAATTTTATATTGCCTAAAATTGGTAGGTACTTTTGGAGTATATTTCCAAATATGATACACTCAAGTTTCAAAAGGACTTGATCATCTATTTAAATAAAAGATGTTTGATGAAAATTAGTGAATTGAACGCTTGCCTTTACCTTCTGAAACCCAAATGAAATGATGAAGTGATTTTTTTAAATAGACAAAATCAATAAAGACAACAAAGACAGGGAGAAGAGGCAATAGCAACAGAAGTTTGGAAGTTGGAAAACAGAAGAACAAATAGGCTCTGACTTAGCTGTCCCCCCAAAACTGAATTCTTCAGTGTGGGGAAACTGAAGAGGCACTGTAGTTTGAACTGTGGATCCCCTAAAAGACTGCAGAATTAGCGTACCAGGTACCTCTGGAAGTGGGGATGAGGATTGAGCTGATGACATGAGAACTAGCTGAAAATCTGTTTAGAAGCAGAGGTTTCCTCTCCTTGCATTGCTGGGTGGCAGACATTCCAGTACCTCAGAAGATACGGAATGTTTCCCTGGAGTAGGAGACAAAAGGATTCTGAACTAAGGGGTACTGGGCACAGTTGAAGGGTGAGCCTTACGGGGGGATTACGTGAAGATTTAAATACTAATTATTGTGACCTGCTCCCATCCCTCCAGCATTCCCTCCCACCACCCTAGCCTTTTTTTCTCCACTCAGCTTCCAAAACAGTACAGCCAGGCTCATGCACTGCAGTTAAGAATTTAGAAGACTCTTCATATGGAAATCAGACTGTCCTAAGAGGGAGAAAAACATCAGCAAAATCTATATGTACTGATACACTAATCCAAATATACTGATATCTTGTGATAAAATGGCTCAGCCAAAAAGCCTACTCTGTAGTCACAGAAATCTTAATGGAGATTTTGTTCTCTAGTTTCAAATCTTAGCAAATAATCAAGAGTGGGACTCTCTAACCTGAAAGGAAAGAAAGAGAACAAAACAAGCAACTTGTAAGAGAAATGAGAAGAATCAGTGCATCCATAAAACAAGAATAGGATGCTATAGTGTGTATGTGTATGTAATCAAGGGGACTTCTGTTTTTAGATGGTACAGCAAAGATGCCTCTGCTGGCTGACTTCTCTCTCACACCAACTAAGAACTGTCAGGAATATGAGAAACAGAATCCTCCCAACTTCTTAAAACATAGGAAATGTTTATAACCAGAACCAAAATAAAAGGACTGCTAAACATAGTGACAGTGAGACCCAAGTGAAGGGGAACGCTGAGAATGGATACCCATATTTTCATCGTATAAATATAAGTAGACCTGCAAACACAGTGTCTTCAAAGTAGTTGACATAACCTGAAGGACAAAATCAAGTATTCTTTTGTAATAACAGTGGGGTACATAAGCCGTCTGTGGGAACCTATCTAACTAATACCCTAGAGAGACAAAGGAGGTGGCATTCTACCAGAAACCATACAAATATGCTGTCTTTGTTACTGCTGCAAGATAGAGGAGATGCTGTGGATGTTAGCATTCTAGCAGCTGCTAATCTTTGTCAGTAAGAGAGAGAAAGGTAAACTCTATTGCATGCACACATGCGAGGTATGTCATATGGGGCTTAACTGCAAGTCAGTGAGGCTTCTGCTAGTCTAGAGTACTATCTAACGCCTCATCCAAGTAACTGGTTCAGAAAGCACTTATTCAATGATGTAGTAATCAAAAAAGAAACTACACAGTGTTTATATACAAATATTCCAGTAAAACAGTGAACAAAAGAAGAGGGAGAACAAAAGGCAGATAGAAAACACACACCAGAAACTTTTTTTTGCAAAAATTTAAATAATTTATTTAAAAATGAAATAGCCTCTAGAGAACAAGAGCACAAATCAGAAATATTAGGACTAAAGGAAGAAATACCAACAGAAGGAGAGTAAAAGTAGAAGAGAAAAATAAAACACTCAAAGTGAAGCCCTCACTGAAAATAGCAAAAAGTACCCTAGACATTGCTGAAAAGCTGTAAAGGACATGGAGGTCAAGAGTGAGAAAAAAAGAACT